AAGTAGTCCAGTTATGAGACTGTGGACCCCCATGCATAATACTGGGTCTCAACCCCCTTATTATTCAAGGGAAAAGGTAGGTATGACCTTCTAAGTTGTGCCAAATTTTCCATCTGTCCCTCAGTATATTATGTAAGTGCGTAAACATTTTGACTCCAGTATGTACGAACGTTTATTTTAGATTTAAGCAATATTTGGGTAGATTCCATCTGAATAGAATTAAATCTTGGTCATTAACAGACGTTTTGAATTCTCCGCACAACCGCTAAGAATACGGCCATTGTTGAAAGCCACACGGCTAAATTTCACTATCGAACCCGTCGACGTCAACGGTCTCCGTTCTCGACAATACCTTCCATTTATCTGGCGTATTTCACTTTGTTAACGGCCAACCAGGCTTTCTGTGAGGTCCTTATCGCGGCTAAATTACCTCCAGGTGTGAAGTATTAGTAAATAATCCTTTAAATTGTACTTAGTGGCCGTTTCGCCGTCTTCCTCTTTTGTCGATTTGTACGCCTCGCAGTTTTCGATGCTCGACATATGCAGTATCAAGTAGGTGTTGCTAATGCTGTGCAATAGAAAGGAAAATTGAAGGGCATCAGACGCTGCTGAATTTATCTCTAGGCCCTTTGATAATGGAATGCAGAAAATGACTCTGTGGCAAAAAGGCCACCCCTAATGGGTTATTTTAGGATTATAGAAGGTGTCCCACTATTTCCAATATCAGGTATTCCGCCATTGTTGCTGTTTGATGGAGAGAATGTTTCGTATTATTAACCTTTTAAAATCACGAAATAAGCAGAATTGTTCATATGCTGTGCCGTTAATAAATATTTACTTTTGTTTTGTTGCCTTAGTTGATTTATCTCTGTTTATTAATAATAACTGAGCGATTCACATAGTAACACAGATCGTATTTCTGCCTTGCTCTATGTGAGTACACACTCTAGGTTTAGCTACTTGAATATCTTTTCCATGGCTTCTGAGAGGAAGTAATTTATTGGCTTGTCATTTTGGTAGGCGGTAGTAAACAATACAATTTACACATATTGGGTTGGCCCTTCTAACCTATTCCAATTCGCTGGTTATTGGAATTTCCTTCTTCTAAACCCTAGGATCATTACAATGGTCGCACTGATTACTTTTCGATGTATGGAGTTCAAAAGAGCTAAAATGAGGAGCAGGCCTGGCGGAAGTGTGCTATTATGAGAGAAAGCGCAAAAGGGCAAAGTTCGTTGGCGTATAGTAATAAAGAGTCTATAACCTGTCGCGCTTCAATGGTAGGCTCAGTACAGCTTATTAAATAGATCACCTCTAAACAGCCTCAAGTATGGGCGGAACAGCATCTGCACACTGTCCTTGGACAAGCAAAGCAATGAGATAAGATGACAGAGAAAGAGTGCCAAACTCGGACCTCAGTTGTCTCAATTCTGACAAACCGAATCAAATGGCCTTCTGATAAAGCTTGGTCATCTACCAAACTAGATATTCGCTTCTTGTCAGCTAAGGTACAGTATTGTGTACCAAACTCCTGATGGCCAGCGGACGATAACTGTCTGTTCATTTTGCTGTGGAGCACTACTTTTCAATAATAAAGAACCTCCCGTTAAAAATACATTTCAAGACGATCAATTGCTTTCAGTTTTTAATTCTCTAAAAGCTAAAAAATATCACTTATGCAATGTCAAGATTTAGGGCTATTATGAAGTAGCTCCTCACATTAAGCTTTAAGGTGTCCTTATTCTAAGAAAGCCTCGTTTGCCGCGGATTTAGGGGGGGGGGGGGCTTAGATTTCTGATACTTGCTTTTTAATATAACACCATTGCGTTACTTTCTGACACATCATGGCGACGGTGACATACTAACTATAAGTTATTGCTATAGAAACTGAGCATTGCGATTTTCTGGTATCCTTTGGTATTCCAAGTGCTGTTCCTCTTTGTCATCACTTACGTGTACAGTACAATACTTACGATTTAAACTTATAAACGAGTATTGTGGCTTGTGACAAATCTAAGCCTGAGTAATATATGAGTGATACAGATTGCACTTAAAAAGTGATTTATGGTCTGTTTGTTGCTTAATAGTAACTTGAAAAGTGTGGAAAGTTTGACTGAATTTGTTCGGAGTTGGTCTTGCTGCGAAACACTATGTTAGATGAACGCCTAAATTGGAAATAGACATTTATGAGATTTGTTTAGCGGCGCGCCTGTGACCTGTCCAGAAAATGCGTCAATCGATGGTCAAAGTCAATACCACATGTCCCGCATCTCTTCCCACATATGTCCCAACTAACAATTATCACTCATATTAGAGTTGCAAGTATTCCTTAAACACCTAATAGGACACTTCAGTCATTTAAGAGGTTGTATAAGGGCTGCAGGTAACAGTTATAAAACAAAAGTGTAAGCCTCTTGCAGCCGCTATAAGACATTTGCGTCAGTGCAGGATTCAGTTTTTGTCAACTATACAACTATTGTGTTACGTGATTCTACTTTATTGCAACCAAACTATTTCTTATGTATTGTATAGACGAAGTGAACAATCTATAACTAGCACATTACAGGCATCTTGTTTACTTACATATCGGCCATTGTGAATTTCATACACAGGTATACGATAACTTCTACACTGTGATATCTGGCTATTGATTTACTTGCGCAGCAAATTTTATTGTGATTATCGTGAAAATTAGTTACCCAATTTCTACGGGCTTCGTATTTGATTCATATTTTGACAATGATAAAAAGTATGTCTAAATTTTTAAGATGGAAAACTGAACTTATCTGCATTAAATCTTCCACAAATCCTATATTTAGACACAATTACACTAATTTTTATCACTTTATATCTGTAACTTCGAACTAAAACATAATTATTTAATATTAAATAGAGGAATAAATCTTTGCCCAATATTGCGGGTGGTCGTGTACAATCATGGCATCGTCCATGTTGTCTTTAGGTTATTTGAATATTTTGGTGTTGCCTGCAGGTGTTTTACAGCAATTTGACAAATGCCTGAAATGAAATACGGACAGAGTCGAATGATTTACCCAGAATTTGTACCAGATCTATATCTTCTGTTTGAACAGTTGATAAAACCTTTTGAACCAATATGCATGCGTTGTTTGTCTTAAAACATTGGTTATGGCATTTTAACAAAAATATGACAGCAGAAACTTAGGTTATGGTGGAGTTGTTTACAAACATATTTAGCATATGTACAGCCTTTAACAGTTACTAAACAGCAGTTGTATAAGTGATTCCGTTGGGAGCAATTTGTTAGCTAAAGTAGTAAATTGCACAGCAAAACAACAAGGCTCGAGTTTGTTTTATAAACGTTACAATGGATGCCACAACACAACCATTTTGACTAACTTACAAATATGCCGTATAAAATAATTGTATAAACGTTTATGCAACAGTTAAAAATTTGCCCTATAAGGTGTTGTATAACTATGCTATAAGAATATTTTAAACACCTCATTTTAGAGCAAATATGTCGCAGAAAGCAAATATGCATTCCACACGACATTAAGCCAGCATTTTGATGTTCAGGCAACAACAATAGAGAGCTTTTATGGCTTAATGGTTCTTTTACCAAAAGCTTATACCACTGCTTTGCCGTTGGGGTGTCTATTTATGTTGCTATATTGAATTTGTTGAAATCACAGAGCTTCTGCACTACACGTGAATATGTACAGCCCTGTATTCTGCCGTGCTTAGCGATAACACCGCATCTACAAAAAATAAAGCATGGAGGAAAACATGTTTTTTCTTTTTTTCAGAGCCGTAAGAGAGTTCAAATACTTTCGCTGCCTTCTATTGTCATAACCCAGTATATTCAATTGAGAAAACATATTTTCACAAAAATGTAGAAAAAAAATGACTGGTTTTATTTTCAAGCCAGATACTGCATTTCTCTTAAGCAAGAAGTATAATGAAAGTCACATGTTGCTTGAGATTATTGCGGTACTGCGTTTTTGCTAAGTGTTTCTGCTAATTACTTTCTAATAATTTGTGACAGATAGAATTATACTCTCGATATATTTAAAAACAGACTTTTTGTTTTGATTCCCTTACAAACTAAAAACAAAAATACAAATATTCATAATGATATGCGCTAAATACCAAAGAACAACACTAATTGGAATCAGCTCTAGCAGGTATATTTCGCCAAAAATCTTTTCTGTTTTCAGGCATTATTGTATTCAACACTTTTAAAATGTTTTCCTTTTTTTCTGAATTAAAACCGCGAGGCTTATGTAACGGCTCCGGCAATTTCATACCATTGGGCTTGGTTGCTTTAAACTGTAGAAAATCTAAACAATTATTCGGCTCCCATTCCGAATGTGAGGTTTTGAAAAGAAGATAATATTGCCCTCTGCGAGCGGTAATCTGAACAATGTCTTTGAGATAAATTCGATTCATTTGTTTCTTTAATTTTTGTTGTGAAACGAAAGATTTGAAAGAATAGAAATCTGAAAAAGACATGTTTTTGATTTCTACTGCTCCCTTATTTGTTTGGGATACAGCATTAACAAAATCTGGAAAATCATACGTTTTTCCTTGTTTCTTTAAGGACAGCTCCTCTTGATGATAAAAATGGTCTGCTGACATATATGTATGCCCTGGTTCAAAATAATTAATGAAAATTTCTTCAGCACTTATTTCACTTGAATTTATAATGAAAACAAGGAAACTTAATAAGCACCAATTTTTGTTTTAGCTTGAGCAGTTATCAAGCCTAACAGTGTTTTTTTCTAAGTCTCCTTGTTTTTTAAAAAATGCATAAAATGCACTTGTAACATCATCTTGGTCTCTTCCGCTTATACCTTCATGCCACAGTACTGCAAAAGGTTTTGCCAGACTCTTTTTCCCCAGTGGAACGAAGCTCTCATTATAAACTGAAAGCCTTTGGATAAATAAGACCCTTTTAAATGTCTCTAATCTTGGCAACATTATCACTTTCTTTAAGTTAGCAGAAAAATAGGAGTTACTTTTTTCATTATCATGCGCTTGTTGTCGGTACTTTTCTCGTGACTCTTTAGCCATATCAATGTGATATTTCCAAATCGTGCAGGTTTCACATCCAGGTTGAAGACTATCTTCATTATGCTCATAAAGCTTCATACTCACACAATTTCACATTCTTCATTGCCAAGTCTAGCAAAAGATATATTTTTCTTTTCAACCTGACATCTATATATATTATACGACACCTTAATATTAGGAAATGTTTCTAAAAAATCAGCATGCATGCTTCTGACAGTTATATCGCTGGGAAGATATCGAACATTTGGTGCATGTGCACGTCTGTAATGTGAACTAACTGGATTATAAGACTCAATATGTGCATCTAACTCATTTTTTGAATAAAGTTTGCTGAACGACTTTTCCCTCGTTGGTCTTCTAACGGTACTATGATTCCTTTTGGCGTTTTTGATAGAACTTCATAAATGAATCGATCATTCGTTGGGTTGTATCCGAGAATGGTCAAATAAAAGTGTTTACACACATGTTTTCTTACCCCAGGCTGTCTTTGAAGGTGTATTTGAAAACATTATGTCTAACATGTGATTCAGCATTATTTTCTGTTGTTCGACGCTTAATTTCCAAACGTTCGCAAGAGCTTAAAACAAATGATCTTCTTTCTGCATGAGATAGTTCCCAAAACTGGTTATGGATTTCACGTCTGTGATCCTCAGAAAAAAGTACTGAACATCTAATTTTACATTTTTCCTTATTACACGAAGGACCGACAGCGCTTTTATTAATTCGGCTTTTTTCTTTTTCCTGCTTAACAAACTCTCGGTGATTTTTTTCTTTTGCGTTTAGTTCCAGCTTTTGTAAGATTAGCATCCTTAGCAATCGAAAAATCATAAAAATTGAGTTTTTATGTCAAATAGAATGGTTTGTGTAGGTAACTCAGAAATACCAGCTGGAGCTTGGTATGTAGCACCCATGGCTAGATCCAAAATTAGTTTCGTTCTTTTGGACATAATAAAACAACCCTCAACAAAACACTTCAATCCGCACGGACCAAAACAAACAACTGACCACGTTTTTAATGCATCATCATAATAATTAATAACAGTCAAGACACGACTTGTACTTGGGAGGAACGCGGCAATTCACATGTACTTAGCAAAAACGCAGAATCTGACCGGAAGATGTTGCATTTATGCTAAATAATGTTAGATACGGCAGTTTTAATGAGCATGCAACCAAATTTTTGTTAGTTACTGCAAAATAGTTATGTTGTTTTATGGTTAAGGTGCTTCAAACGGCATTTTTGCTAAGTTCTATATATAGAAAACATGAATTCAAGCAAGAATATGTAAAAAACTCATTTTTCAATTTTTTTGTATATACGGCGTTTCTGCTAAGCACGGCAGTATTCCTGTACTTGTTTCGTACAAACATACGTACATTATCAAAATAATTATGATTTAATAGATATAGGTTTTTCCAAAGATTTACAATATTTTTACATGCGATCAACACCGACTCGAAAACTGAGAAAACAACAACTATGCCGTAAATCTTAGTTCGACAACGAAAGTCTGAAGAACAACTGTAACATCTATAATATCTGAAAAAATAATTGACTATACCTATTGATATTTTATCACCTGCTGGTATAATAGAAGTGCTTGATTGTGTCAGTATTTGCACCAATTACTTGATTTGTTTAATGGGCAATTCAGAGTCTCAATCTTTAAGCTTAGTACACACTAGTAGACCCCGTTGTGGGACTTGCCTATAGGTAGTCTGGAGACAGCCTCAAGACACGATCTATAGATAGTACGTATATATAGACATCCTTCTTTGTCTCGTCTAGCGTCCATACGATAATGTGAGTTGTTCGCTCTCATGCTCGTTTTCGCCATCAAAGACATTGCTTTGTGTCGAATGGACTGGGATATGTCTCGGGGGTTTTTTTCTTTTTCGGTTAACAGAGCAAAGAAGTTTTTTATGTGTCAATCTTTAATATCATTACACTAGTTAATTATAAATGCAGCGTACTTATTTTGTTCTCATATAATGAAATATTCTGAGGATTGTTGAGCATTTTCCACGTTTTTGTTCAAGCTGGCATTGAGCAGATAGAACGCGATTGATCTAAGGAGCAATAATAGGATACATTCTAGAAGTTGCACTGAGGCAGAAAAATTAGCATTCCCAAATATCGTTTGCGGGGTGAGAAGTAGTCGAGCCTAGGTGTTATCTGGTCCTTCTTAGCCTTAAACAAATAACCTAGCTTTCTACCGAAAGCTGTCACGATTGACAAGTGCGTTCATGTCAAGGCCGTGGATGGGATTGATCGTGCAGGAGAGACGTCAAAAAAATTATCCGAGGTAAAATGATGTCTTGGTGTAATCTATAAGAATTTGTCACAGTTTGTGTGTTTCTCCTGTCTGCAGTAATTATAAATCTTCTTTGAAAAGATTAGTCTCTCCTAGGTGGCGCTGAAGCCAACTACAAGAGCATATACCAGCAAATATAAGATATTAACATTTTCCAAGTAGATTTCATACTATTGTGGATGGGACAATTAAAACAGTGACACTTTTTCATAGACGACGCCAGCATATTTCACGACTGACAATTTTTTGACGCCGGATAGTTGAATATCTTCATGTAGAATAAATTATGCAACTGGCGCATGATGCGGAATGTGGTCACAACCAAAATGAGTGGTCCCGTTAACTCCTTGAAAACATTAGTGACAGAAGGAAGGTCGTTCCTTTCCTTAGCAACTCTCCTATAATTTCTAACTGTCAAGAATGTGTCATGAATGAGGCATCCTCAATCTTTAAAGTCGCCTCAAAAACCGTCATATTACACAACAAACCATCTGAATGCATTTTGTTACGTGTTCTGTTCAGTCAGACCTTTTTATCCATCGGTACGTTGTACGTCGTTTCTTGGAAACGTTCAAAAATTTATCACAATTAATTTAATCGTCGGAAACACGGCGAGCAACACCTCTATAAAATACAACAGGGGAATCGCATTCCTAAGAAAAAAACCCGAAAATATACCCGTTTGGTATCTTAATAATACGTATAAAAAAATCGTCCGATGTTGAAATAAATCGAATTGATGGACTCTGCGATACGGGACGACGTTGGCGGCGGCAAAGGACGGCGCGCCGGTACCGCGATGGTACCTCTTCTTCTTGGTCTTCTTCTCCTTCTTTGGTCTTGTCTCAGGGGTCAAGGAGGATAGATGGGTGGAGTGGGTTAGCTGCAGTGCAGGTAGTTCACAAACTTTGTAGAAATCGCATGCACAAGGAACGTGGTGCTATAAGAATAAAGTGTCATACACCTACTCGTTTTTGCTGCATATAAGTGATTTTAAGGTTTTTTTTATAGTGTAATGAGTCTACATCTGCTCCAGGTAATAATATTTTATCGCTGTGCCCCCCTATAAACTGTCTGACTGTCTGCTATGTGCAATCGATGTGACTTTTGTACTAACTATACCTATTTTAACGAAAACGCCGTTTTTACTGTCGATAGTATAATTTATTACTCAACACTAATTTATAACACTTGCAGCTAATATTTATAACCATGTCGAGTAGACAATGTTGACTTGTCGGTCGCCTCTCGTTTACTGGCTCGACTGTGTCTATTGACTCGGCTGACTCCCTGCTTCCGCCACTTGGTCGGGTATTTATTCCCCTATCGACGAGTTGAGAACCATTCCAGCGTCTTCCAGGCCGTGTCGCGGTGTCTGTAGGTGAGTCTCAAAACTCAACTAAAACAGCTAGATATCGCGCAAGCGCTTTCGCATGATCGCGTAACTGGTTGCCTAACCGTCGACACTTTGAGGTAGTCCCATCGCAACTTAAGGTTCCAGTTACAAATACAACAAGTTTTTCTTATCATTTTGGGATAAGGCAAACGTTATTTTTGCATCTACAGTTTATTGGACGTTTGTGGCCTACACTGTGCAACTATATACTTCCTAAGGTGCGAAGTACCAAGGGCCTCGAACTCTCTAATGCTGTATTCATATATTGGGCCAAAGTAGGCCAACATGAATGTGTGAACGCTAAACTAATGCGCATTGGATGGGGTTGTCCAACGTTGCATATCATACCGTGTTGGCTCCACCGTTGGCTCCAATGCGTGAATCTAGCATAAGGGATGTTATGCAAGAGATACATACAAAAATTTTGTACATTTTTATAGCGGACTCAAAAACAAATAAATCGACAGTACTATGTCACCTAATGCCAGTTGTTGAAGATGTTGCGAAACAATGAATAAAGCGACGGTTCTTCTATGCGCGATTTTGCCACATATCCTATCTTCTTTTCTCCTCAAGAGTAAGGAAAGAACCAAAGATGGTGAAGAAATATTAAAAAGAAAAGTTGGGCAAACCTATTCAAAGTACACTTTACATTGCCCGGTCGTAGATAAATCCTTTTAAGGCACCTTAACCTTATAATTGAAATATGACATTTTTAAACGACTTAAGAGTACCTGGCCGAATTTTTCTTCACACGCACGCATTTATATAACAAAAATGTGTAGAACTGAAACAAAAAGTTGAGAGCAGCCCTCAAGCAAGCTTAAAAATCAATACAAAAAATGTTTTAATCGATAGTTTAGCCATCGTCTAGCAACGAAAAAGTAAGCACAGTTGTTGTAGGGGCCATATAGTGTTCAGCAAACGTTAATTTATACATAGCGAGCGCAAAAGTTACTTTGCCGACCTGGGGTATAGAGGAGTTCGTGGACAGAAAAGTGGGAAGCCCGGAAAATCTATGCATGAAGTGCCACTTTTCTACCCGTTCGTAGATAGAGTTCGTATTGTATGCATTCGCAAGGATCTCGTTTTTGACAGGGGAAAGCTTTTATAGCCACTGGCCACAGGCAGAAAAACTCGGGCAGAAAAACGCGACAATATTATTACCCTGCCGACTGTTCCTGTCCGAAACCTAGAATTTCCAGAAACGGCATACTCACTAAAACTCCTCAGACGTTCGCGATATATCCCACCACAGTTATGCCTGCAGCATTTCTTCATAGTAGGTAGCGTAGGCATTAGGTTTCCATACCGAAAGTATCAGATATCTACTCTCCACTGTACACAT